TTCCTGCTCCTCTGATGCTGCTTGGCCTGCTGTGTTCATCCAGCTCTATACCTTGTTATCTCAGATTCTCCAGCATCGGCAGTTCCTACTATCTCTTAAAGTAATGAACTGCAGACTTTGGAGATCTGAGACAAAATCAGGAAGTGTTGGAGAAACTCAGCAGGTCTGGCAGCATCTGTGGAGAGAGAAACACAATTAACGTTTAGAGTCTTTCTGACGAAGGGTTAACTCTGTTCTTCTGGATGACTTAGCTTCGAGATGAAAATTGTCGTGGGTTTGGAAGGTCTTTGGTGAATTTCTACAGTGTATCTTGTAGATAGTACACACTGAACGTCGGTGGCGGAGCGAGTGTGTGTTTGTGAATGTAGTGCCAACCATGTGGGCTGCTTTGTCCTAAACAATGTCAAGCTTCTTGAACCTCAAACGTTAGACTCAGGAGCAGTAAGTGAGGGGTCCAGAAATGCAGCTGTACTGAATTAGTCAACAGGCACCAGCTCTCCTTGATGTAGTTGTTGTGGGATCTTTTTTACATGCATTCTGGAAAAGCAGGCACACCTCAAATTGAAACTAAATCCTGAAGACAGTCACTCTGACAGTGAAACATTGATTGAAGAGACAATAGTGTCAGAGATCCCTTTTCAAAGAAGGAGCAGTGGAGTTACCCTCAATGCCTTTGCTGTATTTATTGCTCACTCAGCATCACTGCAGATGGACCATCAAGTAATTTTTTTTCCTTTATTCATTCACAGGATGGGAGCATCGCTGGCTAGGCAACATTTATTTCCCATCCCTAATTACCCAGGGGGCAGTTAAGAGTCAACCACATTGCCGTGGGTCTGGAGTCACATGTAGGGGCGGCAGTTTCCTTCCTTAAAGGACAATAGCGAACCAGATGGTTTTTTTTCCCAATAATAGATTCACAGTCATCATTAGACTCTTTAATTCCAGATATTTATTGAATTCAAATACCACCATCTGGTATTCGAACCTCAGAATAATATCTGAGTCTTTGGGTTAACAGTCCAGCGATATTACCACTAGGCCGTCGCCTCCGCTTTGTATGTATTCCATTGGCATTTGTATGACCTTCCTCTCCCAGAGTATACTCTGTGACTGATTCCTGATGTCATGAAAGGTGATATAGAAATGAAAGTAGGTCCCATTAAACAAGAGGCTGGCAAACAGGGTTCTCAGCACCATCTGCTGGCCTCAGTCCAAAACTACACCAAAGGTTGGCTATAGAATTGACTATAAATACTGTATGTTAGTTGAAATAACACTTTGAGGATAAAGATGGGTGAGGTTTTAAACACAGGGAGGTGAACGAACCTTGCACGCCCACCCACTCTCTATTCTCCCTGTTGTCGTAAATTTGGGCTCCTTTCCTTCTTTGGCAGGAGTTGATGAGATCAGTCTGAACACACGCAGGGGTTGCAGATAGGCTCTGCTCCTGTTGGCTTCTCCTGAAGAAAGAAACTTTGCCGTAAAGCCGTGAAGGATGAGCACCATAACATTTTCAAGTGACCCGCACTTTGACTTGCCTGGCGTACTCCTGCAATAGCACTGCTAAGGACAATGCACCTTGCTGTTCCACTCGCTTTATGTTCAGCCCACTGCCCTCTCACACTCATCTAACACTCTCACTGTCTAACTCCATTCACATGCTTGCCAACAACACCACCAGAGTGGGTTGGATCTTAAACAACAATGAGACAAAGTAGAGGAAAGAGATAGAGAGCTTAGTGGCATGGTGTAAAAACAACAATCTCTCCCTCAATGTCAGCAAACTGAAGGAGCTGGTCACTGACTTCAGGAAATGGAGTGGAGGGCATGCCCCTGTCTGTATCAATGATGCTGAGCTGGAGGTGGTCAAGAGCTTCCTAGGAGTAAACATCACCATTCTGTCCTTGACACTACAGTAAAGAAAGCACACCAATGCCTCTACCTCCTCAGAAGGCTAAGGAAATTCGGCATATCCACAATGGCTCTTATCAATTTTTATAGATGTACTATTGAAAGCATCCTATCCGGATGCATCACAGCTTGGAATGGCAACTGCTCTGCCCAAGACCACAAGAAATTACAGAGAGCTGTGGACACAGCCCAGTCCATCACGAAAACCAGCCTTCCTTCCATTGCCTCCATCTACACTTCCTGCTGTCTCAGGAAAGCAGCCAACATAATCAAAGACCCCTCCCACCCCAGTTATACTCGCTTCCACCCTCTTCCATCGGGCAGAAGATATGAAAGTTTGAAAACACATACCAACAGATTGAAGAACAGCTTTTTCCCTGCTATTATTAGATTTATGAATGGATCTCTCATATATTAGAGTTGATCTGTTACTGCACCTTCTCTGTAGCTGTAACACTATATTCTGCATTCTGTTCTATTACCCTGATGTACTTATGTAAGGTATGATTTGCTTATAACGTGCAAAATAACACTTTCACTGTATCTTAATACATGTGACAATAATAGATTAAATCGAATCAAATCATATCTGATCATCATCAAATGATGTCTTTCCCTCCTCTGTACACAAGCCTAAATGCACACTAACATTTCCTTGCTGGGGACTGGTTTCTGGGGTATGGTTGGAGGTGGTAACCCTCCAGTGACAGGCATCTTGTCAGGCACTGAAAATGTGGGCGCACCTTATCATGTGGAAGGAAGTTCCAGGAGACTGCAGGAGTCAGCAATAATCTACCATAAGAGTCAGAGCCTCCTGAGGGTCTGGGCCTCACACACGGAGAGGCAGCTAAAGACCAATAGACATGGTGGTGAAGGTCTCGCTTCCTTTCCTAACTGGATCTCAGTGTCCATCCCTCTGCTCCAGGGAGAACGCAGCCAGAGCTGCTGCTGTTTCCCAATCGGCAGAGGGGTAAAGTTATGCTGCAGTTCCACTCCTGTGCCACGGTGATGGGAAGTGCAGCTGAACATAAAGTTGGTAATCCCCTGTCAAGCAGTGAGACCTGTGAGAGTGCCCTGACCAGCAGCCTGGCCACAGCTTCAGTGCAACTGCTCAATACCTTCCCGGCCCCTCGTTTTCACTGAAGAAGGTCTCCCTACATCTATAACTCGAGAAAGTTGTGCAATCCCAAATTGCAAGTTAAAAGGATTCAAAAATAGTTTTTACATTACCTTGTAATAACTTATAAACAGATTCAATGATGGGCCCTGCATAACTTCAATACATATCCCCAGTAAAATCAAGAAGTGGATGAGATGATGTTTGAATCTGATCTGATGTCTGTTTGAGGAGATTAATTCCCCACCCACCTCCAAACCCACAACTTCTTACATTTAATATAGTTATCAATCTGGATCAAACTGACAAGAGGTATCCTCCAGCCATCAGTCCTGGCACCAGCGCTCTTCACTTCTTGATGAATGACCTGGACGCTGGTGAGTTTGAGTAT